CCCCAAAACCCCAAAACCCCAAAACCCCAAAACCCCTTGGAAGGTTCAAATTTTTGATTGTTATAAATAATTTACCAGCTTAATACCAAATAAATATGTCAAGCGAGAGCAGCGATTTCAGCTCAGAAGATCTTAGTAATTGACTCGAGGAGCTTGAAAATGAAGACTTAGAAGTTGTTTCAACATTGGATCGGCTCTTCGAAATCTGAGGTATGTAAAATCTCACACATTTCTAAAATTTGAGTCAGTGATTAGGCCAGAGGTGCATATTTGAAGCACAATATTCTATTTTCGAAGCTAGCCAGAGTGATAAATAAAAACAATTTTTTAGGATCAATCCAAATTCTAACCATTAATACTCATTTTTCAGTTCTATATCACTAACTTTCGAATTTTTCCGATGCATAGCAAAAATGGTTCTTATTTTTCCTATAGGTGTACAGAGAGAAAAATAGTGATAAAATTAAAGTTGGAGGTGTCACTTATAAAATTAATTCTAAGCTATTAGATCCTCCTAAATCTGAACAGGATCTGACATCCCCCAAACTAGAAGGTTCTCAGTCAGTAAATGTTGTCAGGATCCAGTCATCTAATAATATGAAGTTAAATCAATATTTTAAGAATGGGAAGGGATCATCTGAAAACCAATTAGTCCGGCAGGAAACCATGTTGGAAATGGTTCCAACCAAATCTGGTTATATGTTTACTAAAGATGATCTTCAGAGAGCACTCAGGGTTCTCAGAGATGAGTCAACTAACAAGAAGCATATGATCTTTTATTACGCATCTCCTTTGAAGCCACCTTCCGCTTCGAAGAGCAAGTCTGAATTGCCCTTGATTGATTTCATGAGTGAATATAGGGGTATCCAAAAAGCCCTGAAGAATACTGGGAAAGATATAAAATATCTCAGAAAAGTGGCTACACCAGCTAATATTGCAGAAATGATTAAAGAAAACCCAACGGTTCTGCACTTCTCAGGACATGGGGCCGAAGTTCATCAGGATCTCAAGTGAAATCCTGATATTAACTCATCATATACAGGCGATTACCTCGTTATTGAAGATGATTACTGTGGAGGCATTGAGCTGAATCAGAATAAATTGAAGAATCTCCTTGATCAAGCTGATATCACTATCGAAGTAGCTGTCGTACTTTCATGTCATTCTGAATATATCGGGCAGATGTTCCTCAAAGCAGGAATAAAACATGTCATTTGTGTAGGAAGAGAATTCAAAATCGATGACAAAGCATGAATAGCTTTTGCTGGAGCTTTTTATTCAATAATTTTCAATGAGAATAAAACAACTATTTGCCAGGCTTTTAAGACTGCTAAAGCAACTGTGAAAACCCAATTTGGCAAGGATGGGTACCAAGGAGAGGAGGCTAAATTCAGGTGCCTGCACCATCATAAGAAAAAGCCCTGTGATTCCCACTGTATTGCGGTCAGGAAGGGTAGAGCTGAAGACTTCACAACAAAACCTTCCTTGAAATTGCTCCCTCAAAGAGAGAAATTGGTGGGCCGAGCTGATGAAATTTGAGAAATTCTCAAGAAACTTGATGAAGAACGCTTCATTTGGCTCGAAGGAGAGACAGGTATAGGCAAATCAGCGATTGCCAAAGAAATCTGATGGCTATGATATAATAGGAGCATATTCGAAGACGGTGTGATGTATATTTCAGCAAGAAGTTTCAAAGATTTTTACTCTATGGTCGAAAATATATTCTTCAGTATTAAAGAAGGACTAGTTCGTGAAGATGATCGTGCCAAGCTAGAAGCTTACATTACTGCTGACTATGCAGAAAAGTACCGTAGAAGTATCAGCTTGATTAGTGGCCTCAAGATTTTGATCATATTGGACAACTGTGATTATGTAGTGGAAACACAGGAAAAGCTCATGAAGGAGTTTGTCAAAAATATTGCAATTAAAGTTGAAGAAGCAAGGATTATATTCACTTCAAAGTCAGCTGCATCTTCTTATACAGGAGATGGGGGTGCTTCATTCAGGATCAAAAACTTGACGAATCAGCAGACTTATCAACTGCTGTGCTCCAAAGTAAAATCAGTAAAGGAATGTAAGGAACAGATTTTGGAGTTACAAAAAGACTTAACAGGTTCCCAAAAAGCATCTGTAAAATCGGATCCAAAGAAGATAGATTTCAACAATGAGTTTCTAAATATTCTGAATGGGCATCCTCACTCAGTTATTTTGGTCTCTTCTCTAAACAGCGGTAGGAGTTTTGCATAAAATTTAGATTTGTCACTTAAAAATATTTATAAGCGGCTGATGAGTATTAAGAAAAGGAGAAGCAATTTTGGAGGAATAGACAATCTCATTTTCTCTCTCAATATCGAGTCTACCTTGACATATCTTAAGAAGCAGAACCCTGAGGCTTATAGAGTACTGCTATTGTTCGCACTTTGCCCAGATGGGTTCACAAATGATTCAATGATTGAAATGTAAGCTCGTCGTGAAATGGTGTAGATGAATTAATTGGTCTCATGTTCAAAGAGTCTTGATCGATAAAGCACTTATTAATGTAGACTTAAAAGTTGTTAATCCTTAGGCTGCCACTACAAAGAGGCTAAATAATCAAGTCTCATCTATCACAGCTGCGACGAAACTGTAAGTACATTGGGAAATTTTTAGTGATTCTATGGTAGAGAGGCCAGTTGGGAAAAAGATGTTCCAAATGGAAGCCTCCCTGATCTGAACAATCCTCAAACGCATGACTTCAGAAGAGCTCCAGACTGCAAACCACACAGTGGTGACTCACCTTGTAGATGAGTTAGACAGGATGCTCAAAAACTATAAGCTCAATGTAACATATTTGGTAACTGTTTTAGCCAAAAGATAGGTACAATGGACTCAGGAGTTTTGACAGCAATATCCAAGAGGCTATTAATAGGTACTATGGACAGAAAATGGAGAATGAGAGGAAGAAAATTGAACTAGAGAATGATGTACTTCATGTAAAGAAAAATCAAGTCAGGTTCAAGGTAAGCCCTCAGCTCTTACTCTACTCTAGTTTCTGCAATACATCATTGATAGGGGGCTTATCAAACTAAAGGATAAGTCTCCAAAAATTTGAATGAATCCAAGAAGTAAATCCAGTTCATTACTGATTAAGAAAAAGTCATATGGAAGACAAAGTTCCGTTATAAAAGAATGTTTTAATGATCTTAATAATTTTCCTTGCGAGGAACGGATCAACTCGAGCTCGAAAAACATGCTTAAAATCGGAAGTAAACCCAAAAACAAGGAGATTATGAAGACTTTCGTTGATAAATTTGTAAAAGAGGTTGATGAAGAAGCAAAGAAGATTATGCCTCTTCATGTTGCCATCCTGAGTACGGCTAATCTAACCCTTATAGTTAATAAATTCAAGAACATTATGTTTAAGAGGATCAATAAGAAAACTAAGAGGGAAGAAGAGATGGAGAAGAAAAACTTCCAAGAGGAAATTAAGGAGGAAGCTGAAGAGGACAGCGATGGAGACAAAACACCAAATAAAGAAGTCAAGGTCAGGTTTGAAGAGACTAAAAAGGATACTGACAGTGAAAGCGAACAATCCTTCATACCAGAGTCTGACTCTTCAGGTATTTCTTGTTGGTGAGTATGTAGAGGAGTTTAATGGAGGGACGCTGAAGAGAGCAGCGTTGAAAAATAGCTCGAAAAATGTCAAAACTTACCCTAATATTCAAGTAGATGGAGACTGGACAAACCAAGGAGGCACACAAGAAGAACGGATGAGTAGTAATCCTGATTCATTAGCTCCTAAGATGCCTTTTGGGTTTCAGAGAGAGTCTAAATTACCCTCTGAAAGCTCATTCATTGATTCGTAAGAGACATTTGGGTGATCTATAGTGTATCTGACTCGAGTCGGAGTAATAACCCTCCACCAACTCCAAGGAATAAATTGTTAAAAAGCAGAAGTAGGACAAAGCGTATGCATGAGATTGATTGTAAGTTATGTTCTCTGAATCATAGTATTGGCATCAGATGAATTACTCAACACCAATAAGAAGGGCACTTTCGAAGTACCACTAAATGAGAAACTGATAATTTTATTCTCAGTGAACCAGCTTATGAGCGAACAATACGATTCATTTGACACTATCATAGACGACGCTGTTAGATTCCTTCATGAGAACCTCACTCTTGGGAATCTGTATAAACTTATCTGCCTAAAAATACTGTTGAAGGAAGATGCAGAGCAAGGTTTTTATAAGAATAAAGATAAAATAAATTTGGATGTAGACATCAGTAAATATTTATACGAAGCACAGAGTAATTTGGATAAGACTCTTGCCATGTACAAGCAGACAAAGTGCATTCAAGGATGCGCGCGAGTCCATCTACTGCAGTGAATCATCTCATCAAGGTTGATCAAAATAGAGGAGTCTGAAGGCATTTTTGATCATGAGTTTTCTAATCATTATGATAGCCTCAAGGAAGCATTTTCTAACTTCAAGTTCAGAATGGAGCAAGTTGTGAGCTTCGATAGCAGATCTATAAGCAAACAAGTGTTTGAGTTTGTAAAGAAGAACGAGGATAAGATGCAGGAAGTAAATATACTCCAGAACGAAGAGGTCTTGAGATTTTTATACTCACCGTGTCTCTCAACTAAAGCTGAGGGCCATATAGATTTTGAGGATAAAAGGTTAAAGTATATGAAGAGTCTGAGGTTGACTCTCAAGAACCATGTTAGCCATGATGTGAAAAATATGAGACGTATCTCTCTCGATGTTGATCTGAATGATAATCAGTTAGACCTACTTTACTCAGCAGTATCAAAGGAGGAAACCCTTGATGATAAAGAAAGCGTTGAAGAGAGGAAAGAAGAGAATAAATAAGTCTAAACTGGAGGTTAAGAAAGAGAAGAAGAATTTTATGAACTTATTGGTGAAATCTATCGCTAATAAGTTTTTACCAACTACACCAACCTCTCCTTCAAAATCACCCAAGTTTGGAAACCAGAAAGAATCAGATAGCGAAGAGAATAAGAACGAAGTCTCTTCTCAGGAAGAAATTATGAAGCAGAAGAAGAGAGAGCTAAAGTTAGAGAGTCTTCCTTCTTTAGAGATAAATATTCCTCAAGATTGAGTCGAAGTGGAGCCCCGTATTCACTCTCGAAATCAAGAGAGTATCAACATTCAGAGTTCATCCAGCATTTCTAAAATATCAAGTAGTGCTGAGTTCAAGTCAGGAATTAAGTGTGTAAATTCAATAAATGCTGCTTTTGCCTATCCAGATCGATACACGCTTAGGTCTTGCTCCAAATACAGTAATCCTGGGTCTTTTGATTGTAAGTTTGAGAATTTTTACCAGTAGATAATTCATATAAGAACGATGCCAAGAAAAGTTACACAGCTATGTTGAATAGGAACCATCTCAGGCAAACGTAATTTACCTAATAAACTCCGTAGGGATTATGTGCCAGTGAAATACTCTCAATTTGCAAACACAAGGGGGTAAATCTTGTAGCTTTATCAAAAATTTAGGTACACAAGCAGGAATTTTAACTTCAGTGATGATCTTCAATCTGAATATCGAGAACGATCCTCCTCACAAAAATCAAGGTCAGATAGCTGCAATAGGGTAAGGTATGGATATAATTTTATAGTCCAAACCTTTACGAAGGACCAGATTACGTAACAGCCGAGAAAGAACCAATGGTTATTTCGGATACCCCTATAGAAGAGTCTTGTAATACGTATGCATAAGGCTAAGGAGTGCACAGAGATTTGGAGATGCTAAGAAATCTAAGTGGAGATTTAAACTCCTTCGAAAACTAAAACTACCCATCCAAAAGATGAAGTGACTATATAGCCAATTCTACCGCTCTAGGGGTGTACCATGAAGGAATGAGGAATGTTTTAGCAATTTTAAGCCTCCATTTGGGCTTCTCCAGCTCCTACTCGAAGTATACCTCTTTTTGTAATAATTAGCCTAAATTTTATTAAAGATTTTACCCGAATTCGGAATTTTTAAGTTGTGCTTCAATTTGGTCTGTGTATTGTGGGGTTTTGGGGTTTTGGGGTTTTGGGG